CTGCTCAGCCATTGATGCTCAGTAACAAAGGCAAATGACCACGACATTGGTGCCAGTGAGAAATTTTTTCCCCTTCTCTCTTTGCAAGGCATGGACAAAGGTGTGGAAAGGAAGGAMGGAAGCTGAGTCTCATTTTCATTTAAAAGAGAGCATGACTAATCCTCCTGGAAACCGGTGGGGGTGTTACAACCATTTTGTGCAACTACAAAGTCCAGCTTTGAACTTGGAAGGAACCTTTCTCCTTGGTAGCAGCAACACATTTTGTTTATCTCTTCTGTCAATCTGACAGCCACTCCGGCTGAGAGRCTCTTCATTATTAATAATCCCAGGAAGTAGTATTTTAAATTTTTATGGTTTGTGCTTTGCAGCACCTGAACCACAATATATTACATGCACCGTGGCAGTGGAGTGGGAATTACAGCAGGGCTGCATGTCCTTTTMCAAATGAATAATTTAAAGTTTTCACAATGCCAGTTATGTTAAATATTATTACTCATTTCTTCAGGGAAAACCATAGAGCTCAAACGCAAATATAAAGTGGCAATAAATGATGTTACATTTAGCCAGTTGGAGACAAGGCTCAGAATTCATATCAGTTCATTTTCTGAAACACTTACTTCATCCCTTTGCTGGAAAATCCTTTTCAAGGTTCCATGCTTAATGGGATATTTTTCAATTTGTCACATTTCACATCTACTCTGCTCCTTCCTCCTCACAGCAAATGCTTTTAATATAGCCCACTTGGTTAGCAGCTCGCTTTCTTTTCCCTTTCAGCAGCCCAAATCCCTGGATTTCCCAGCACTCTCCCACTGTTTACCTTCTCAAGGTTGTCGATGATGGATTTCCTGCTGGTGTAGGCAGACTCTCATCTGTTGTTTCTCACCTCAGCACACCTATAATTTTCCAAAGCATCGCTACAGAGCGAGTGCATGGTCCTGCATTCATTAAAGCCATGGAAAGATTTCCTATTGATTCCAGTCRTGGCACTAGCATTAAGCCTGGAATAATAAGAGCATTTAGGTTTAGGACTCAATAAATRTATTAGCAAACAGCATCATTAGAAACATCTTGTGTGGAGCAGGATGATGGATGTGGCTTGTGGTCCTCTCGTGATGGGGTTTCACAATTTCCAGGGCCGTTCCCTGCAGATTGCTCTGAGCTCTTCAGAAGAGTGTTTGAGGGACTGGAATGAGGAGCCTGAAGATCCGAGGAAGAGAACAGAATATAAAAACCTTTCCAGACGTGGAGAGAGTTACTACATCTGCTGACCTGGGATGTGTGAGGAGGACAATTGTGCAGAGAGCTGCCATTTKCCATAGGTTCTCTGACTGCCTTCCCACCCCAGTCATCTTTTGCTAGCTCCTAATCCCAAGAATGCTACATTTATATGGAGAATCTCCTGGAGCTGCTGTTCTCTCTCATTAATGAAATTGTGCGTTGTAAGAAATGAACCAACCATGGTTTGAACTCCTGACTCAGCCACCAAATGGGACTCAGAACATGACTGAGATTCTTTTTTTGTCTTTTTTCCCTACTCCTCCCTCGATCCTGGGGTCATGCTGTGTGCAGAATGCTTTGAGCGCTTGCTGAAGAATTCCCCAGGATCCCAAGCATCGGAATTGGAACGGGCTGTGGGAAGGTGCCTGAAGCCAGCTCCTCGGCCAAAGCACTTAGATGCACACTTAACTTTAAATATCCAGCTCATCCTGCTGATGTTAATAGGACTACTTGCATGCTTAAGTGCTTTGCTGAATTGGTGGTTAATTAGCTCAAATTCTAAACAAACCTGGTTATGGRGAAAGCTGCAGTGTGGATTCCCATAATTAGATGTGTCTTTTTGCTGGTCCATGGAAACTTTTCTCCCCTCCGGTATTTTCACAATCACTCTGCAAACCCCATCTAGAAAGCAACTTTCAAAGAACAGCTTTATTTTGGATACAAAGTGCAAAGTCCCAGTTAATTTATTGGTGTTTCCTTTATCACATACGCACCTAACAGCTCAGTTCCTACAACTTAAAGTGTTGGATCTCTGGGAATGGTGTGACTAAGAACAGATCAGAGGAGCAAGATAATSTGCAGGGAGATTCCCTGAGCTGTACCCATCTGGAAGTTCACCCCTTAGAGCAGCTCTTCTCCAACRTGCCGGCATCCCAGAGGAGAGAACGAGGAGATGCCATTTCTTTCTCTTCTTTTTCCTTTGAATTGCAGCCTCCTCCCGACCCCAATTTTACCCTCCCTTTCCCTGGTTTCAATCCAGAATGACAATTCCCAAGCCAGGACAGACAAGGAGAGGCAGTGGGGATCATTCTGTTGGCTGTGGGTTGGAACAAACGGCAGCAGCTCTCCCAGGAAAGCTGTCGTGGTGTGAGATGGATGTGCCTTGTTTGCATGGAAACAGTGGGATCCTGAGCTCGGCTGGAGCTGCTCSGGGGCAGCCAGTGATAAATGAGCGCTGATCATTGCACCGACTGTGGAGTCAGGAGGCTTTTATTACTCGACGTTCAACAGTAATTTGGGTAGAATTTCTGGAAGACTTCGCTGCCAGGAAATTTTTTTTCTCGCTGACAAAATGGAAAAAGAAGGTGAAAAAGGAGTGATGGCAGGGAATGGGGAAAGGCAAATTTTCCCCATCTAACTCAAACCAGAAAGCTGGAAAATGAAAACAGAAAAAGAGAGAAAGATTAAAAAAATGCTAAAAATGCAGAAAGGTTTCTTTAGAAGATTGATTATTSCTTTTCTAAATTTGCACTTTTAACTCTGCAAGAGTGGGATCCATGCTCAGGCWGATTTATTTAGCCCTGTGGGGTACTGAGCAAGAGGGAGCTCTGTTCTTCTCAATGTACACCCCATGCCCTCAGCAAAATTGCATTTTTATCATTTCTGGCACAGTATTGAATGGTGCCCCCCCGCACTGCAGGTTTTCAGTTTTCTCTTTGACCTTTGTCATTTGATTTCTGTGCTCTCCTTTCAAAAGGAGACTTCACTGCCTGCTCTGCCTTTCTTCTGCTGAGTAATTCCACCGGGTATTTGACAAAGACACTTCTGGAGAGCAAATTTTTAACCTTTGCAATGCTAAAAGGCCTTTAGCAMAGGTACTTCTTCCCTCTTCTAGCAAAGCTTTCTGATACCTCTGCAGATTTCTCTGCAAAACACTGTCCAGGGTGACTCTGGCTCTGTGCACACTCATKTCACTGCTGGCACAGTCAGCAAACTGTGCTTCAAGTACTTCTGATCTGACTGGGGCCTGAGCTTGCTTATTTGTTCCCAGATGTGATAGAATTGCTGCTGGACCTGACTGATGCCTGGTGAAGGAAGGGCTGTGTGGGTTCATTTTCACTCTGTACCTCTGCAGACAGCATGATTCAAACTTTCCTGCTTATTGGTGCAATGTAACAGTTAAAAAATARCCATAACAAAATTGGTGTTGATGATGAAGAAAATTAAATTATATCTAGAAACAAAGAAGGTTTTTAATTGGATTTTTTTTCCATATTACGGCTTTGTGGTCTTTCATTAAGACCCAGTGTTAGAATCTGTGGAAAAGCCATCGTGTAAATTGAAAAAAAATTGTCTGCAGCTAAGATTTGTATCAAGCAGGAAGCATGAATTTGGGAGAATTGGATATTGTCTGAAAACAGAAAGAGAGCAATTTCTAAACACTGGCTGGCAGGTGTTGCTGGCTGATGCTCTATAATTTACTGTACTGGGTTTACAAAAGGCCAGGCAGAAGACTGAAGGCTGGCCAGCTGCACGAGTCTGGGTGCACTTGCTCCTTTTGAGGCAGAAAATGAGGTTATTGCTTGTTTGAAGCTCAGAGCTGACCTGGGCCATTTTGTCTTGGCTGCAGAGGGAGATTTGCTTTATTTTGCCCACAGTGTGCTGGACAGAGTGAACAAAATGGGTTTGATTCAACAGTGGGTTCAGAGTAGGGTCAGGATTCACCCCAAACCTGCCCAATCAAGCTTCTCCCCATGGGTCATTTCCCATMTTCTGTGTTGTGTCATCACAAATCCTGAGCTCCCAAATGCTCACAGAAATATTTTTGAGTGGCTTTTTGTCCCTTMTTCTCCCCAAGTATTAATATTGCAAATGCTCCTGTAATAAATACTATTGAGAGGGATTYGCTGAAGGGTGTAAATATTCATCAGTCTTTAATGATTTGCATTTGAATCCAGAAAATTGGCTTATGACTCCTCACTGCTTTTCTCTCCCTCTGATTTTCACATGCATTAAATGCAGGAGGATTAAATACCTGGGGTTCTCTTTGGTCCAAAGCAGACTTTGCTGTCTTCATTTGGAAATAAGTCCTTGATTAGCTGGGAACTCAGCCTTGTGCATCACTTAATCTTTTCAAATCCTTCACCACGGTTTTGTTTCTAACTAAGAGCTTTAGGATTGCTCTTGTCACTCGCATCTGGAGCAGCCTCCACTCCTGGAGTTTCTCATTTTCACCAGGCTGCAGCTCAGTATGRGGAGCCAAAAAGTGAAGGGTCTTCTGCACTGGTGTAAACCACCTCATTTTATAAGATTAGTAGGACCTGGATTAATCAGACACAGATCTTAGGGGAAAAGCCAAGGTGATAATGGAAGATAAATATTGATAATCTGGAGGCCTGAATGAATGAGACACCAAATGGCCTAAATTAAAATTGGCTTCAGCGGAGCTTGTTTGGACAGAGCTTTTAATTACTGAGGCTCCTTAGGATGGGCTGTTCTTCTGCCTGTTGAGCACGGTATAAAAATTAAATGCCTAGTCCTAAACAAAAGTGGGTGTCAAACATTTTGCTGTCAGCTATTTTAAGGCTCAGTGTGATAAGCTCACTGTCCTACTTCTGTGTATCTGCCTATTTATCTGCCTCCTGTTCCTGAGGGGATGATGGGTTTATGTTCATTTATGGTKTTTGTGTAGGTCCAGGGGATGGTTTATATAGAAAAGCTTAGATAACAAACCGAAAATCTGTGCTGTGGGCAGAACCCTTAAAAGTGTTGTTATTTTCCAGGTAATTGTGAAAACAAGAACAGAATATCAGCCTGACCAGAAGAACAAAGGAAAACTCAGAGTTCCCAAAATTGCTGAATTCACAGTCAGTTTCACTGATGGGGTAACAGAAAGACTAAAGGTAAGAAATGGTTGTTCTGCTGCCTTCTGATGCAAATGCCATTCATTTTAAAATAACTGAATCAAAGTGACAGGAAAGACATAACAAATTTAACACTCCACTCATCACCAGGGTCAAAGAGAGGCTTATCTGCATGAGTGTGAAGATTTTTTTTTATGACAGACATGAAAATACTATCTTAGCTACATCCAAAGKAGGAAATGCTTTTCTGTCCCACAAAAAATGAAAATCATTTCCAGCCCAAATTAAAAATAAAAACAAGTTTGAATTGTTTTCTTTTCCAAACATTGGCGTTTAAAAGAATTTTTAAAATCCCAGTGAAGATGGAAACATTTTGTTTAGCCTTTTAAAATTCCTTTTGTCTCATAGCCAGACAACGCTTTTCATATTTAAAATACATTATTATTATAATTATATTACTATAGATTAAAATCCACTTCAAAATGCATAGAAAAAGAGATTTTAGAGAAGTATCCAAGCATATCCTGTCCTGTAAGCAGTTTTGCTTCACAGGAATTGGAATACTGTGACGGAAAATGTTTCCTTGGGAAATTTTCAACAGGCTMTACTCAAACATGGAAAGAAACTCATGAATTATTGAGTGCCCTYGGTTCCTGTTGACTGCAGCACATTAGAATGGCTCAGTTCCTCCTAAAATTAGACTCCAAGTGTGTAGCTGCCACTATTTCCTCCCTTTTCACTGCAAAGACCTGGTGCTTTTCTCCACTACAGAGCATGGCAGTGAGAAAAATGTGAGATGTGATTGCACATTTTCAAAATCAGAAGAAATATCAATGATTTGAGTAGAAAACACAGAAAGTGGGCAGTGCCTGGTTACAGCCCTTCTCCTTCCAAAGCATTATTTATTCTTAGGAGTCATGTGAGGAAATGTTTATGGTTCTTGGGGTTGGTTGTTTTTTCAATGGACATCACAGTTTGATCTAAAATTTCTTACCTGCTGTTGATATTTCCTGAATTCTTCACTGAGCTTATTGTGGGCGTAGTATCTTTTTACCACCAGTGGTAACTCTCCACKGTTAAATCCCAGTCTTGGAAACCACAGCAGACATTTTCCAGTGTGAGGGACACACAAATCATAACCAGACACGATGTGCCTGAGAACCAACAATAAATTTAGAGCCTCCTGGACTTAGAGTCCCCTGCTGGATTGGGACCCACAGTAAATGGCCTTGTTGATGTTGTAAATCGTRGTGCCTCAGTGGATATTTAACACTCAGTCCTGCAGCCCTGAAGGGTGTGAAAGGCAGTGTTAAAACCAYGTTTTAWTCCCACCARAAGATCTGACTTTGTTATTTAAAARAAGCAATCAAGAACATCTCCCTACACACTGAGTGAATGTATACTCGTGGATAAATCTCATTTCCTCTGTCTTTCTACAGAGTATCTTGTTTTACCCATTCTTCAATCATCCAGGTTGCTGTTGCATTTCAACCTCTCTTTTCATGCATTTTTCCCTTTTCCCATCCTGTTTTTGGTGCAGTTTTCCCATTGCTCCCACCCAGAGGCTCCAGCTGGGAGCCCTTGCAGAGGTGGGAGCAGGGCCTCTTCCTATAGAGCCTGGCAGCATCACAGTTTCATTTTTTAGCTATTTTCTTTCCCTAAAGTCCATATGATTTTCATTCTCTGCTCTTCAATGTCAACTTATTAATCAGGCAGCCTCTGGTCTAATACTGGATAAGACTCTAAGCTTCTCCCTGCTTGCTTTTCATAAGGCTGCCATGTATCCCATTAAATTTRTAGTATTATTTCCTGACAAAAACTAGCTGAGATAGTAGGTAATATTTATTACCTTTTGTACTTTTTATTGCTCCACATTTTTGCCCCAGTGTATATTTTTAGTGACGTTACTAAAAATCCTGCCCTCTGGTTATAAGCTGGCCTATTATCTGGTACTGATAAAATCATTTTGCTTTTTTTTTTTTTTTTAAGAGCAGATCATAGTAAATACTTCAATTCTATTATCTTAGTTTGGCTACATTTYTAAAAGCTTTAAAAAAGATGATATAACTGTGATCATGGTATTTTCTTTTGCCCTTTTGAGAGTGGAAAAGCCTTCCAGGAGTATTGGGTCCATSCTGTGACCAATCCCCACCKKGTCMCCAGCCCAGAGCACTCAGTGCCACCTCCAGGGATGGGCACTCCAAACCTCCCTGGGCAGCCCCTGCCAATCCYGAGCACCCTTTCCATGAGGAAATTCCTGCTGATGTCCCCCCTGCCCCTCCCCAGCCCAGCCTGAGGCCGTTCCCTCCTATCCTGGGACAAGAGGCTCAGATTCTGTGACAGAGAAGAGCAGGATGTTTGGAGAAAACCTTGAGACCGTGTGAACTTGCCAGCCAAGTCCACTGATCCACTTTTTTTTGCCTTTTGGGTATCTTTTATTTCAAGCAGCTAATGAATTATTAGACAACTTTCTCACATGAACAAGCCCAAGCCAGAATTTAAGCTTATGCTTGCATATTTTTCATCCATCCAGAATAGCCCAGATCTGAGCTCTTTAATTATCATAAAGAAGAGACTGTCCCTAGGCAACGGTTCTTATTTCACACCAGCTCTTCCAGGAATCTGAGATAGCTCCTGCAACTTGTCACATCCCCTAATAGATGAGATTATGATTCTCTCCGGCTCAGCACACTGTGTCCTGCAAGTTTGACCAATTAGGCTGATTCTTCAGCTGGATGAGTCAGCCCATACATCCTTTATAACAACTGTTTAAATAGTTGTGTGTAGATGGGTTACAAGAAAAYGATGTTAAAATAGCCTTATGGTTGAGCCATCCATACAGAAATTTCTTTTCTCGATTTACTCCTCCACAGAGAAGCAAAGAGGACATTTTTCTAAGCTGACAGGCAGTGATTTATAGACCTTGCTTTCTCCAGACTGCTTATACCTCTGGAGTGTATTCCTCTAGGAAGTTTTTGAACTGCAGAGATCTTGTTTTGCAGTAAGACTGTGAGCTGAGGGTTTCCCTGGCTGAAGGGGAAGGGTGTCTGCTGTTTGCCTTTCATTTGAAATGCTTTGAAGGGAGCTCTTGTTCCTGGGCTTTGCCATCCAGTGACAACACTGAGGTGCATTAGAGAAGGTCTGCAAATGTGCTGCCTCTGACTCCTCTGTGGGATGACAGCTCTAACCCTTTGCATCTGAGGCTTCCTGCTCCTTTTCACCAGTTACACCCCATGTTACAGCCTTTGAGAACAATCTCTCATACRTGAATAATCATTCTGCCCTTATTTCTATCAGTACTGAAAAGAGATTGAATCCTTTTTGCTTTTTGAGCAGRTTATCCATTGAATGAAGCCTTGTTACTTCTGGAGAATAGGTTTTTCCAGTGACTCCTCTTGCAACCAGTTCAGATAACACAGAAATCAGCCAGAAGCACTGAGTTATTAAATAGCACCTGAAGAGGTGCTGGAATGGCCTTTCAGAATAGGCTTACAGAGCRTTGGGTTGGCACCTGTAACTGCTGGTCCCTTACTGGTTTTACACAAACTGGTCTCTTYGTTACACCAGTCTGAGCCCTTTATCACCACTGCCACAGACCTAGTCATTATTTTCAGAGAGGTAATGATTTATTGGCTATTAACTGGGTGATAGCTATCTCCCATAGTTATCTGACTTCTCAAGTGTTCTACAGTTATTTCCTTTTCATGGATCGGTTTCTTTAAAGAGTTGATATTTTCAGAGTTAGAGTAATTAAAATCTGTACTTGTCTTTAACAGAACAAGTTGGGAGTGGGTGTACGGGGGAGAAGTCGAGATWTTTAAGATGTTTTTTGCAAGCAATTTATCTACCTGGAGAAATCATTGCAAGTATTGATCATTGCTTCACTGAGGAAGACTGGGAACTTCATTCTTCTTGCTACAATTTGGCAAGATGCACTTTGAGAGTTGCTGGCTGTGTCATCTGTTCCTGTTGAGTGTGCAGTAACAATTACTCTTATTAGATCACCCTTCTCCTCCCTCCACCCTGAAACTGCTCTGACACGTGCAGATCCAGGAACCAGTGGATGTAATTATTCCCCACACTTTTCATCAGCTCCTTAAAATGTAGTGGAACCCATTCAAATGCTTCTGGTGTTGAAGTGCTCCTGCTGGATCAATTATTTTCTTCTGATCTAATGTGAAAGATTTAGAACAAAATTGCTTTGTCTCCAGCCACACCCTACGAAACAGGCSTTGATGCAAGAGCTGTTCATGATCAAACCCGAGCCAATATCTGAAATGTTTGGCTCCTAATTAAGAAAGATTTTTCTGGGCCAGGGCCAAGGTTTCATTTCCTGTTGGTGGCAGCTTTGCTAAATGGAAGATGCTCCCCTCCTTCCCCCACTRGAAGGTAACCCATCGAATCCCCAGGGAATTCAGAATTTGCTGCACACACAGAGCCCCAAATGTGGYTTTCCTGCTCCTCCTTCCCAAACTCCCCATCCATGCCATGGGCCCTGCAAACTCCTTCATAGGGTGTTCTGCTTTGTGCTGATRCTTCTTCCTCTAACCTGCAAAGAAACAAATCCCAGAGAAACAGCTGAGGCTTTTCATTGTGTCCATTCATAGGTAAATAAATTTAAAGTCTCCTTTAATTGTTCAGTTCCCATGGGGCAGGAGTAACTGCTGGCAAAAGGACTCCTCCCGAGTGTGAGCAGGACAGTTTTCCTCGCTGTTTTTTAATCCTAACAGTACTGGTGTTACCATGGCAACTGCCACATCCCATCGGTTATCGGGAGCTGCGCAGCRGCCTCTGAAGGATCCCATTACCCTGACTGATGGGAGTGGTGCTCCAGGGCGGGAGCACGGGYTGCACTCGGGGATTTCTCTCACTTTGGTAGGAATTGCTGCTGGGATGTTGTTTGCAGGATGCAGGAGCACAAAGGACAAAGCAGAAATGTGGCAGGCACAGGGGAGCACCACTGGCTGCATCATCAGGGCTGGTACCGTGCTTTTCYCCTGAACCTTGCATTAGAGAGGGGCTTGGAGAGGTGTCAGTAG